GCTATAGGCGCCGAGCCGTTTTTTGTTTTTTAGAGTTTCATTTTATTGCCCTCGGTAGAGTACCATGGTGTCATAGCTGACAGCAACGTCCAGCTCTTGGGCTTAGACGATTCTCTTGCCTCAGCCTCCTGAGTATCTGGGACTACAGGCGCCCGCCACAATGCCTGGCTATTTTTTTATTGTAGTTTGGTCGGGGCTGGGTTCGAACCTGCCACCTTTGGCATATGGGACCGGTGTTCTACTCACTGAGCCACAGGTGCTGCCCCATCTTGCCTTAGTTTTTCTATTTTTAGTAGAAACAGGGTCTCACTTTTGCTCAGGCTGGTCTAGAACTCCCAAGCTCAAGCAATCCACCCTCCTTGGCCTCCCAGAGTGCTGGGATTACAGGCTTGAGCCACCATGCCCAGCCAGTTATCTTAATTTTAAGCTCATGTTTTTTCCTTTACATCTATTTTTTCATTTTTTGATTTATTTAGATGGAGTCTCACTCTGTTGCCTTGGGTAGAGTGCTGTGGCATCATCATAGTTCATAGCAACCTTAATCTCCTGGGCTCAAGCAGTCCTCCTGCCTCAGCCTCCCAGAGTTCTGGGACTACAGGTCCATGATGTCCAGCTAGTTTTTCTATTATTAGTAGAGACAGGGTCCTGCTGTTGCTCGTGCTGGTCTTGACCTCCTAAGCTCATGTGATCTTCCCACTTTGGCCTCCTAGAGTGCTGGGATTACAGGTGTGAGGTACTGGGTCAGCCTCTATTTTTTTCTTTAACAGGCAGTTTTCTGTGATGCTGCAGCTTAAGGCATTTTCTTTTTTTTTCTTTCTTTTTGAGACAGAGTCTTCCTTTGTTGTCTTGGGTAGAGTGCTGTGGCATCACAGCTCACAGCAACCTCAAACTCCTGGGCTCAAGCTGTCCTCTTGTTTCAGTTTTTCTATTTTAGTAGAGACAGGTCTGACTTTTGCTCAGGCTGGTCTTGAACTTGTTAACTCAAGCAATCCACCCTCCTTGGCCTTCCAGAGTGCTAGGATTATGGGTGTGAGCCACCTCACCAGGCCAGCTAAGGCATTTGCAAGTCTTCTGCTTTTATTTATTTATTTTTTTGATTGTTGGGGATTTGTTGAGGCACTTTTTGGCTGGGGCTGGGTTTGAACCCACCACCACTGGCGTATGGGGCCGGTGCCCTACTCCTTTGAGCCATAGGTGCTGCCCCTGTCAAGGTACTTTTAATTTTTTTTTTTTTTTTGAGACAGAGCCTCAAGCTGTCACCCTGGGTAGAGTGCCGTGGCCTAACAATGTGGGGCTTAGCAACAGCAGCATCCAGGCTCAGTGCCTAGAGCTCAAGTGGCTAAGGTGCCAGCCACATACACCAGAGCTGGTGGGTTTA